AAGGACAAATTTCACTCGCCGTTATTTGGGAGTAACCTTAAGGTGGAAAATGTTTCATATGAACATTCAATTCTTAAAGGTTTAATTCTATAATCATTTCGTTTAGCTATGTAAATAAATTTAACACGACTTGTACTGTTTATCTGAGTGAAAGGAGAGCTGCGGGTTTTCCCTTTCCTTTATTTACACTTTCAAATATGACCGCTTAACAAAAATGCACGGGCYCACTGGCTTACAACCTTGGCGAATTCATATGCAGGCCTGGTCGCAAATCAATCACCSAGTTTTTATTGACGTGTCAAAAACTCATAAATAATTARCTCCGCCCCAAATGATTTGGATTYGTCTTTGCACCGAAACGAGATGACTGGTGAGCGACTCGTGAATAATCAGCTCGGGGACCGAAGGGCAAAGAGCTTAGGATTRCAAACGCCTTTCCGAAGTACAGAAAATGACATCGAACGCACGAGCAAAGACCGTAATTCTATAGCGATTAGACCTTCGGCTACTTTCCAATTACAAAACTGCGAGGTGGATGATCGAGAATGCAAGTGCTAAATTTTACTTATTCATACATTTAGCATACAGTGGAAGAGTGATTTAGCTTTTCAACTAAAAGACATTGTTTTGAGCATTGAATAAAACGAATATTTTTATGAAACTTGATCAGTAAGTTGTTATTTAATACAACGCCATCTCGCGGGGCTGAATCAGACTCATTTATAGAACAACCAAAACTGCTTCAAATTCAATTTATACCAATAAAATGTCCAAAAAATCAGTCCAAAATTGTTGTCAAAACTTATTCTCTTCAATGTCCGRTCAATAGAATAACATATAAATACATTCTATCAGAAGTACATAACTAGTTAATGTACTTCTGATTTTTTTAATAGCGACATTCGAGCTCTTTGAAATGAATTGCTAGACAACAAGTCCTGATCGCAAGGAMATGTAAAAACAAATTTATAGTTTTGTTTTACTTGGACATTACGCAGTCAAGAGTTTTTAAAAGAGGACAAATCGATCACTCAGTCCTCACCTTTTTTTCAGTAAACATATTCTTACGTATGTACCTTGTTCATGATTGATTTTGATTTATTTATTTTAGACGTGAACGAGTGCACGACATCACGACCRTGCCAACACACGTGTATCAATACCTATGGTAGCTACACATGCCGGTGCAATTCGTGTTATACTAAACTAGGGAAATATTGCGAGCTAAGGCAGTGCCGTATTGGTGGAAGATGCTACCGTTATGGTAAAGTTAACCCTTATAACCAGTGCCAGGTAGGCTGGACACGCTGACAATGTCAGTTGCTAAATAATTACAACTGAAAACAAATCCGAAATAAGAATCTATTAAGGAAAATATTGTCAATCGTGAGAACATGTACTCATATCATATCATATTATATATATCCATATTTTTCCTAATTTTAATACTACTATATCATTTATGAAGAAAACAGACAATCGTCACAAAGCGAAACTATACAACTTTGGCACGATATACTGACAGGAAAAAATGTTTGCAAAATAGGATAGGGTAAATTAAATCCTTGTTTTTTCGATAATCCAATGAAATTGCAAGAGGGTGTTAGTGTTTTTCTAGGATTCATTTCTGAGACTATAAAATATCCAAATTGTTTGATAAAAGTCTATTTTTCAGTTTTTAAGCTCAAAGTAGGATTAACCAAACATATTTMCAACCCTTCCCATGGCTAAGTTGTAAGTCTAACGAAGGTTGTTGTAGATACAAGATAGTTAGACATGCTTTTCAACTCGAAGATTGCGAAGCAATAAAATTACTCAGCCAGTCACTCACCCACTTTCCTGTAAACTTGAGCCCGCGTTACTTGTGTTCAGAACTAATATAAAAATTAGGTAAAACCTAWTAGCGRAGCTCCCAAATAGAGATATGCAATGCATGTTGGATAAAAATGGGATSCAAGGCACATTGGTCAGACTACATGTGRTTTGTTAAGACTAATTTATTTTGGCAAACGAAAAACTTTCATGTCACTACATTAAATTAAACTCTTTCTTCTTCAGCTTTGTCGATGCAAAGTAGTGATATATAATATGTAAAGAAAATTCTTGTAATATTGTGTGCATTCAGATAGTGCACAATTTATTATGAAGAGTACACCATGTATAATGTTACATTAATCTTTCTATCAAAAACATAATTTAGTTTATTTACAAAATAAAACTTCCTTACTAGTAGATAATATTACAGCAATCATAAATTAATATTAAGTGCATTTTGACAGTAACTTTTTGGA